ATATATATTATATATAACATTTTTCAAAAGTTGAGGAACATCTTGTCTACACCAACTCCCCTTCGTGTGTTTTGAACTACATGGTAAGCCGGTGATAAATTAAGTGGCACACATCAACAACTAGAAAGAATTTTATTAGTTTAATTAATAGAATGTTTGTCAAATAAATTATTTTGAAATAAAATTGATAATTTATAAATCATTTAAAAAAATTATTTTTAAATTAAATTGAAATAAATTACATAATTAATAAATTATTTATTAAATTTAGCCTTTTGACAACTAAATATGCGATGAGAGCTAGCAATTAATTAATTTTAATAGTTTTCCCGATAAAAAAATAAATAAATTGTAGTCCAAAAAAAACAGGTTGCATTACAGTATTTATATTTTACATATACCCCCCTGCAACAGCCTGGCTAGCGGAGAAAGTTTTCTGTCCTAGGGGCCACTTTACCTTTATAAAGGACTCTTTATACTTAATTTAATAAATATGAGATTTAAGTCTTATCCTCAATATTAAATAAAAAAAAAACAACCTAGCAAGTGAATAATTGGGTAACACACGACTTCATCATATCATCAATCGACACCAACTTTGACCCCAAATACAAAAGCACCACATTGGTTCATGGTTCATTGATCCACGGACCACGGGGCACGGGGACGTTTTTCTTTTTTCTCTCTTTTTGGTTTGTACTATAATCGGCACTTGAGTTCATTTTATTCAGTGTTTTTGGTCCGATCTGGTGGTTGATTTGGTTTGACCATTAAATTTGGTTCAATCAATTAACTCAATTCATCCGATCGATATAACCAGTCAACTTATAAAAATAATATTTATTAGATTTTATAATTGTATATTCCTTTCACTATATTTTTATGAAATAATCATCATAAGATCAACTTAAAAATCATCATTTAAGTTATTTAAAATAATAAATTTAATTATATACATATAATTTTTAAATTTTAAACTAATAAATATTAAAATATATAATATTAAAATAAGCAACAATTAGAACTTAATTAATTGTTTGATATGCAGGTCATGAACTTTCCCCATTTTCAAGCAAACCCCAAGTCATACAAAATCTAAATAATTAAAAACTACTCACACTAAACCAAAAACTCCATTTACCTTAAAAATTTCCCATGAGCTTCAACATCAAAAGTTCAAAACCCAATACCTAATACCACCAAAAGCCCTCAATTATTGAGATCAAACTCAAGGAATTATCAACATGATCCAAAAACCTAAAATCATCTAATTGCGCAACATTTAGCACCAAAGATGAATCCAAAATGAGATCCAGCAAAGAAGCACACCTTTAAGAAGCTTGATCATGAGCTTTTTCGCAGGCTGAGGTGGGGCAGCCGTAGCCTTCTTGTGGGACAAATTGGCCGCAGCGGGAGCACGGGATTCGTCGGGCCTGACGTCATCGTCGATAACCATGGTTGCTAAAGGGTCAAATACTACGTCGTTTGTGACTTGGGTATGGTGGCGGTGAAGATCGTTCTCGTTAAGGTTGAGAGGAAAGCACGCCACTACTTGAGACTTGGCCTTCTTCATAGGTAGAGGATGGAGAGGGGAAGAACTGCTAGTGCCACCAGAGCAAGTGAGTCTTGAAAATGAAAAAAAGAAAAAGAAAAAAGAAGGTTAATTGAAGAGAGGAGGTGCAGCCTAGCGGGTTCAACAGATGGAGCGAGCGGAGCAGGTGGAGCGGGCTAAACGGGTTAGAGTGGGTCAAATGTCAAAACAAGCTGAGGGATATATTCGGCCCGTTTTCAAGCTCGGGTTCGGTTGAACCGATCCAACCGACCGGGTCAAGCCGAGCCCAAAAACACTGAATTTTTATTTGTAATAACACATATTTTTAAATGATATTTTTATAATATATGAATATAAATGATAATTTAAATTATTATTATGAGAAAAGAAAAAATTAAAATTTTTTAATATTAAAAAAATTAAAATATTTAATTACAACATTAAATATATGAAAAAAGGTATAAATCTAATTTTATTAAATTTATTATGTAATTATTATTAAATGTCTTCATGTTAAAAATATTCTTGAATTTTCCTTTTCTTTATTTTTATTATATAATTATTACGAATGTAAAAAACTTTATCTGAGATTAGAAACATCAAGGTTGTGAAGATTTTAAAAGGTTTTAATGGTTAGACGACAGCTCATTTTATTTGACATTAAAGATGTTAAAATTGAGTATTCTTTAAACATTTAAGTGATCTCAATTTTTAAAATTATATATAAAGATTTGAACGAGTGATTGTAACCAATGTTCAACAAAGAAAGAGCAAGAATAAGCCCAGTTATACTTGTGTTTTTCAACTAGTGTTGAAAGCTTTTAAACCTTTCTTATTATTTGAGCTGTGGCATGGACTTTTAGAGTTTGAGTTTTAAGTGCTTTAATTGGGCATTTAAGAGGGACTTAAATAGTCTTAATTTTATATAATTATGTAAAGATAGAAAACAAAACATAGAATTGAAAAGGATTGACCAAAAAAAGAAAGAAGGACAAGAGTAGCTCTTCAAATACTCCGTAATATTTACTATGGAGTTTTAACCTTTTCAAAAAAAAAAAAATTCCCTATTTTTTAAAATTTAATTTAGTTGAATAAATTTTTTAATTCAAAACTAATTGAAATTTTTTTAAAACTCAAAATAAAAAACTATCGAAATAGTGAGGAGTACTAAACTAACTCGATTAATTAATCTCTGAGACAACTTGAAACCATTTCTCTACTCTTTCTTCCTTTCTTTTTTTTTTTCTTTTTTTTCTTTCCCTTTGACTGGGGCCTTACAACCTCTACCGTTTTCCTTTGTTCAAATTTATACCTAATTTGTTAAGAAAAATTATTGATATATATTTAATTTTTTTTTTTTTTAAATATATATTTATTTATTTTTTATGTTTTATTTGTTAAAAGTGAGGGGGGAAGGATTGTGCTTGGTTGGATTAGGCCTTCTATGTCCCAATAAAATGGCCCAATGACAAGAAGTCATATTCTTGATGAACCAATAAAATGGCCCAAAGGGCTTTGTTTACACTTAGCCCAACAGAATGGTCTATAAATCTGCACCCTTTACCAGAACCGTGCGATTCTGGTCTCTTCTAAGTTCTGTATCACAGCCGCCTGATGGGATGACTACTCTATCCATTTCCTCTTGGCATTAAAAATGCGCTGGAAAGCACGAGAAGCTACCTAGACGAACCCAGATCCAGATATATCTAGCGCACAGTGGGATTGGGTTACGGTTTAACTTTAACCAACAAAGTCATCCTTTTTTTTTAAAAAAAAAAAAAAAACCTCCTCAGTGGTAATTTTATTATTGGAGATATTGCCTACATAATTTTAACTACACAACTTTATTTATAACTTGATTTAATATTAAATTAGTAAATTATTAAAGTTTATATATAAAAAAAAGAACAAATTATTTAT